TTGCACTAGAGAAGCTCAAGATTTGAACTGTTCAATGTCTTCCTTCCTATAGTGCATGCCTGTGACCATTACTACTCTTCCTCTAAGTGAAGGGTTTCATTTTCATTAGAGATGCAGAAGGAGTGGTTTAATCTATATGCCACTCAATGTACACTTTCAAAACATGGAAATTGTTCCACACTAGCATTGGCCACATTAAATTCTATCACTAGCCAATAAAACAAAACTAAAACTATGCATTGGAAGTTGTGGTTTCATTCATCAATGCAATAGCTTTAAATGATGTGGCCCTCTTACAACATCTCCGGTTGTTCCCAAAAAAATGGGTAAACCAATGAGTTTTCCAAGTTACTAGAAAAAGTAGGGAGCATATTTGTCGTCTTACTCCAACCATTTCCAACATCTCGCTTCTAAAAGCTATAAGGCAATTTTGTATCTGAAATCCCGGACTATTTTCAAATCATCCCAGCCACTTCTATACTTTCTCTCTCTTCTACATTTGCATACTTTCTTTCTCTTGTACATTTGCATTGTGAACCCTATCCTTCTTCGCTGCATCCTCACACCTCTAGATCGGCCGTTTGGATATAGACACGTATATATTTGTGCAATTGGATCAATTTTGCCAAGTGTAGAAATATTGGGAGTTGAGATGAGGAATTGTGGGAGAGGTTTTTTTCAATCTTGCCAAAAAAATAAGATTGGAATTGGGTTTTGGAAACTCTTGGAGATGTTCTTAGAATCAACAAAATATCCACCCATTGAGATTGGCCACTATGGCTACTGAGCTGAATACTGCTTAAGGAAACAATATAATTCAAATGATATATAGGGGCAACTATGAGGTGGTTGAATAGAATGATGCCATCGAGGGGGGAGGGGGCTTGATATCGATCTTGGAACTCATAGTGTAAATCAGCGATAATGACCTCATGAAACACATTGTAGGGCCACACACGTGACCCACTTTACAAATTTCATTAGACGTAGAGCCAAAACCGGATTTTGTTCCAACTATGACTACAAAATACCAGTTGATGATCACATGTAAGGAAAAGAATGTTCAATTCGTAATCCATTATAAACTTAGTGGAAAATGACTAATGTATAATCCAATCCTTTTAAGACCAAGACAATCAATGATGATCTAATAACAACAGAATCAGTATATCTACATGTGGTTCCATGTCAAAAACTAGATCTTGGATTTAAAATCTAGTGTTCACATCTAAAAATTTAGCAAATTTGACAAAGCTAATTGATGCAAATAAGGGAGTCTAGATATATGTGCGGACCCATGTTAAAACCGAGCACCTGCAACTAAACGTCACATTCATACAATGAAATTTTAACAAAATTCACTAAAAATTATTTGATATGGCACATTATGATATTTAGGTACTCCTTTCAGATAATATATAGCTCGATTTAAATGTGTGACCCAAGTAAAAAGGCTGACCTTGGAATTTGAAAACATTGTGTTCACACCTTAAAATATTAGTGAAATTAACTAAATTAGTTTCGAGGCCAACTAGCAAGATATATGTACAGCCACATACTTCTCTACCAATTTTGAAACGTCTGATCATAAAATTGAAGCTCTAGGTCCATATAGTATAGATCTATCCTCCATCTAACCAAAACCTATCCATGCATCATAATTGATGTCACTTTAGCTAATTTACAAAATCATCGAGACACCTAGCTTGCTAAGACATTGCAACTTGGATCCGCGACTGAAATGTTTCTGGCACCAAAGTTGGATATCCTCTTTCATACCAGCAAAACTACATCCACCTCCCTTGAGCTCAGAGAGGAAGAAGACTATTTTTACTGTAGTGATTATTTCACACGGTTCAACCGTTACCCTGATTAATTAGCAGGTGGAAATCAGGTGCATTTATACTAGCAGATTTTGGTAAGATGTACATACTTGTTTTCCACCTCATATAAGCTAAACTGTAGAAAATAAGTATGTATAACTATGTCAAAAACCAAATTACAACAACTTCAAATTATTTTAAGATAGATATAACTATGTGACTTTCATGTTTCCAAAATATAAACTTTATAAGAGTTATGGTTTGTCGCTGCTTTACATGTTTGACCAGATCTTGTCCAAAATGTCAAGTATTTATAACTAGGGTGAGTACATCATTATAGGCCTTTTCTTAAGTTAGATGTTGGCAATTGTGCATACCTATTTGAATTGTTAATTCACCTCTAGATGTTGGCAATTGTGCATACCTATTTGAATTGTTGGTTCACGTCTAGTTTATTTAAATAATTAGTTATGATTTAATCTCACAGGGCATCCACAAAAATAAATGAACAAATATTCTATCAGAATTTATAGATTATTTCTTTTTTCTAGCCATTGTACATTTTTACTCTTAAATAGATACATGCTTGTGGAAATATTATATAAAAAATTGAGGAGAGTAGTTCAAAACTTACAGGGAGTGCTTGAAGATGGCCAGCTTGTTGCTGTCAAGAAGTTATACTCAGCTCTTGCAATCGAAGACGAACCATTTCAATGCGAGGTTGATTGTCTAATGAATATTAGGCACCACAATATAGTCTTGTTTGTTGGGTACTGTGCTGTAACACAGGAAGTCGTCGTGCATCAAGAAGGGAAAAATATTTTTGCGGAAAAACGAGAAAGGTTGCTTTGCTTCGAGTATTTGCGTAATGGAAGCCTTCACAAGCATCTTACTGGTATGATTGTGGAATAAATTAAACATGTGATCCATTTACTCGAAATGGATGGGCTTTCCAATCTTAGTACTCCATTGAGTCCAAAATATGTTGCACTTTTGATTTAGCATGGTCTTCCATGTGTTTGAAATATGTAATGAATTTATGAGATTGTGGTTGCACTTTCCAAGAAAAAATGCACACATGTAACTACTTTTTAGAGTAGATATCTTAAAAGTTATTGATCATCAAGTTCAACAAGTTTAATTATATTCTGTTCAAAATGTCAAGCTTGTAAGACTAGAGCAGTAGATGTGTGAAGTATACATCAGCATAAGCTTTAGAAACCATAATTGTATTGGTTAGTAGGACACATTCAAAAGCTACTGCGATGTAAAATTGTATAAAACAAATGGAAATTTTGTTTTACAGCGCACTGCAATGAGGTTTTATTCACAAGACACTTGACCAATTGGTTATGTCTACATTACTGCACAAACAAGTGGCTTTGTTCCATGAGACACTGGAACAGGGGAAAGCACTATTATGAATGTTTCTTCTCCATGCATAAGAAACTTTGCAAAATGATGCAACATTATACTATACACCATTATGAAAATGATGTAACTATTTAATTTTGACCAAGAAAAGTGCACATACATCTACAACATGAAATTAGTTTCAGTAAATTCTCCATGAAAAAAAGGTCATGATAGTACATTTATTTGGAAACCTATAGATGTTAATATATATTTTCTAAAAACTAGGTAAAAGTTACAGAAGGCCAGATTTTGGTCAAAGTAAACAATAATTTGGAATAGAGAGAGCAAAATACTATATGAAGTTTTAATAGAATGCATTTTTATGTACTATTTCCATTGTTGATTTGAGGATTTATTTTATTTATTATTATTGTTGACGTACAATGAGTGATATTCATGTTTTTCAGCTGGACCATGTGGGCTTCCATGGTGTGTTTGTTACCAAATAATAAAAGGAATTTGTCTGGGCTTGCACTATCTGCACGAGAAGAACATAATTCATTTAGATCTCAAACCGGACAATATATTGCTTGACGATGGCATGGTGCCTAAAATTGCAGATTTTGGTTTGTCAAGGCTCTTGGGGGATGAAAAAAGCGGAACACGGTGAGCTATGTATATACCAAAAAATTAGGGATATTATCCTTGCAGGTCGTTTTTTAAATCAAAGATATCAAAATGTTTTTTCTCCATTGTCAGCCGTGACATTATCAGTGTTCATGCATGCAGGGGTTACATGGCACCTGAGTACTTAGATGATGGAGTGATCACAATCAAGTCAGACATATATAGCTTGGGTGTGATAATCAGACACATGGTGAAGGGACGTAACTCGGCAGATACCACTGATCAAGATGTATGTTGAAGAAGAAATATATATAAGATTTTGTGTGTGTATATGTATATTCTTGCAATAATAAGGAGATACATTGTTAGCCAGGTACTAGAGAGCTGGATGATTAGGCTGGAAAAGGATTCATCACAAATGAGGCAGCAGACCCAATTATTGGAAATAGGCAACAAAGAGCAAATAAAAGCGTGCTTCGAGATATTACAGAGGTGCACACGGCCTGAACCAAAGGATAGGCCAACGACAGAGGATATCCTACTTACACTGGAGGAAACAGAAGCAAGGGTCAAATTGGTCGATGGGCCTACTCCAAATGCCTGTCAGGTATGTACATACTTATCGGGATAATATATTAGACATTTTCACTATATGTAAGATAGCAACATAGGCATATTTTGTGTGAACCGTTTAAATTCCACAATATACATTTTTTATGTATGGAACCGTCTCTGTAAGCTTATTCCATACATCTTTGCATATTAATCCATATATATAAATCACACATTTACAAATTAAGCCACATTTTATACAAACAATGTCCATCCCCTACATCATTCAATTGCCACATTTCGTACAAATATTACATATTTCATATACTTACGTATCTTTAATTTCAAGCCAACAACACGTCATTACACATAAAAAGTGCACATTTGTATGCTCCATTCGTCCCTAAATATACACATATCTAGCAATTTCGGGACAATTTAAGCTAGAAGAGAAAAAAATCCATAATGCACTAACTAAACAGCTATAACCACGCTCGATTGGTTATTTTTTTCTTTTTTGCATCACAGTGTTTTTTCTTTGCTTATAGCATCTGTTCCAAAACATTTTTTTATGTTGTCAACAATACTGAATTTGTATTTCAAAAACAAAAAACGCAGCTTTACCCTGAATCGGTACAGACGATGGAGCTCAACATACTAGAGCGTGTAGTAGCTGGAAGTGAGGAACCGAGCCATCTAGATTTGTCACTTCTACAAAGCATCACAGAAAATTTCTCTAAGCAGAGAAAAATTGGTGTTGGTGGATGTGGAGAGGTTTACAAGGTAACTGCTATTTTTATGGCAGCACAGCTTCATGTTTCCACCTCATTTCATAGCATAACTTGACATAATGGACATGGCCTTGCTCATAAGGATATTATAAACAGGGCATCCTTCGAAATGGAATTGTTGCTGTGAAAAGGCTTTTCAACAGCCGAACAATTAAAAACAAGATGTTCCATCGGGAGGTTCAAAGTTTGATCACGGTTAGGCATGAAAATATAGTACGTTTTCTGGGTTATTGTTCTTTTACAGAAGAACGCGTATTTACATATGAAGGAAGAACAATTATGGCCGATATACGGGAAAGATTGCTCTGTTTTGAGTACATAAGCAACGGAAGCCTTGAGAACTATCTTACAGGTATGACCTTTTTTTTACATGATATCACTAGCTCTCCAATCCACATTAGAAGACAACAGTGCAAATAAACAGCAATCTAACAGAGTGCTTCCACCCAAAAGTATGCCAAACAACAAATTAAACTGGATCATCAACAGTGAAAACTAAATTAAAGAGCACAACAGAGAAATAATCTGATCAAGAGTCAAATTCCCTAATCATGACCACTTCCTGAATTTTAAAACAAATTTGTAAATACTCAAGTAAACGCTACCAATGTTCTTCTATTCATTTGCTTGCATACAGTCCAGTGACCAAAGCATACAACTACCTTTTCATATGATCTGGTTACTTTATTTATCGCACCATCTTCACTAGATGTAATCCTAAATTTTAAATTGCATTTGATGAATAATCATGGACAGTCTGTACAGATAAAAAAGCCAACATTTTGTTCAATGCACACTTGCACATACACTGGGCACACTATTATTTTGTGATTTCCAGCTTCTAAAACACTCTTGATTCTTCATATACTTTTGAAGACGAATTGAGGGGACTTGAATGGCATACTCGTTATGAAATTATTGTGGGGATCTGCAAGGGTTTGCTCTATCTTCACAAGGACAAGAATATCGTCCACATGGATCTCAAACTAGCCAATATACTACTAGATGATCTCATGGTGCCCAAAATTACAGATTTTGGTCTATCTAGACTTGACAACAATTCACAAGAAGTGACCACATCACGTCTTTTTTCACCGTAAGTTACTAATCATACATTATTGTTCCTGGCACTTGTTTTCTTACAAGGTCATAGCGTGTTGATATGTGTGTTCTTATCATGCAGAGTATATTGTGCTCCAGAATACTCTAGAGAAGGCAAATCGTCCAGCAAGTCAGATATATATAGTTTGGGAGTACTGGTCATAGAGCTGGTGACAGGAAGTAAAAATGAGCCTGATCTTACTAAAGTAAGAATTGTGATTATGTCGCTGTTGCATGGACATGCATGTCCTCTTTTGATCATATGCTAATATTAAAAACCTATAATGAAATTAGTTGTGCTGGTTATTTCACTGGTAAGATCAATCTAGAATGGAAGTAGCACTTACGTTTCATTAGGGTAGGGATATTTCCAATATACAAAAAACAATAAAAGCTACTGTTTGATACTTTCCTTTCTTATATAATTTTCTACTTGTTGTGAGTCTTTTTCCTGTAGTTTTTTTTTATTTTCAAAACAACTACTTTGTTACACTTCATAAATTGATTGTGCATCATTTCATACAAGGATCACACAGGAATTCCACTAGAACTTTATAGGTCGTTTACTGGAAACAGTACAATTCTCAGTTGCAGGAATTAGAATACTTTGACATATTCCTGTGTTAGTATAGCCAACGTTGTCTCTGTAGTTGTATTCTTAAGCTGATATCAATATACATGTCATTTGCATTGAATATTTTGGTGCCATTTGAATGTAAATGCAGGTACTTCGAAGATGGAGGTACAGGTGGATTAAATCATCGAAGCATACACCCTTGGGTTATCAACAAGTGACAAAATGCCTCGAGCTGGCCCAAAGATGCATCCAAATTAACCTGACAACCAGACCTGACATAGTATACGTAATGGATGAGCTCAACACAGTAGATAGTAAGGGTGGCCAATTCCAGGTATGCCCTATGTGCTCCCTGAAGCTCAAGGGATCTAAAGCTTTGACAGGCTCTGGTAAAGCTAATGCATCTTTAATTTCTCCATCACAGGAAATCCCTTGCCTGGAGGACATGCTTGGGATTGAGCCGCTGGAAATACACTTCCCCTTTAAACTTGACCCGCAGATATCACACTCAATTGAGCTGACCAACGATACGGATGATTACATTGCCTTCATGACAAAGGCAAGGTCACGCCGCTTCCGCATAGAGCCAGAGAAGGGCATTGTCCCACCAGGATCCAAGTGCAGTGTCACCGTAACAGCGCAGGCACAGGTCAATGCACTGCCAAATAATCACCACAAGGAGGAGATCACCGTGCTGAGCACCAGAGTAGATGGAGGTCTTGCAGGTATGGATATAACAGGAGACGTGTTCATTGAGAAGGAGGGTAATGTGGTTGATGAGGTGAATGTGATGGTTGTTTTTGACAGACCACCACTGGCTGATGAGGAATCCTGAGAGAGTGAGTGGCAGAATCAATTTCTTCTCTCTGTCTCTCTCTCTCTCTATGGAGATTGGGAATTTCAAACACTTTAGGCCCCATTTAAGAATGGAGGTGAAACGAGGGAAAAGTCTACATTATTTCAAACTCTTAATTACTATATCATTAAGTCCGCACATTATTAGAATATGAGTTTTACCTTATTCATCCATCAAATGGTTCATGTGTTCACATTCCTGTGTTTTTTTTATCCTCTGTTTTGCACATTCATTCATTTTATATTCCTGTATTTTACTCGTTCCTCTGTTTTGTATTCCTTTGTTACAAACAGCCCCTTAATGAATATATCAAGAATTTAAGTTTACAGCAAAGTTTTATTAGAACCTGAAAGGATGTGGTTTGCCGTGACTTCTGTCTTGTGAAAATATTCTTGAGTTATATAGTACATATACAGTCATGAGGCAGTAGAATCATCTTGTGAGGCGTACATTAGTAATAGTACACATATATCAGGCTGTTTTGGCTGATACCTACGTGGCAAGTCATAGTACAATTGTCTAGTATGGTGATCGAATGAATTTTCTGATTTTACAAACGTGCATTTGTGTCACTTCAAATGTTTTTTTTACTGAATACATGAACAAATTAAGAGGTTGATTTTTCTGATTTTACAAACGTGCATTTGTGTCACTTCCAAAAAGCGTGACAGGCAGCTCAACTCTGATATCAAAATCAGCCACTGCTGCTTCTGCAGCCTCCTCTACTACCTGTCTGCCAGCATCGGAGGCACACTCAGGCCTTTTAGATTGTAAGAGTTAGAAAAATTTGGCACTGTAGCACTTTTGTCTGTATTTGACAATTATTATCCAATCATTGACTAATTAGGCTTAAAAGATTCGTCTCGTAATTTACAATCAAACTGTGTAATTAGTTATTTTTTTTATCTACATTTACTGATGCATGCATGTGTCCCTAAATTCGATGTGATGGAGAGAGAGTGAAAAAATTTAACTTTGAAGCAATCTAAACAAGGCCTCAGCAACACAAGAACCCAACACTTCCTCGCTCTTCTCGATGGCTTCTGCTGTCAGCAACACTGCCTGCGGCGAGCCGGCAACGATAGACATATTTCATCCGGTTTCCCGAGCAACTTCCTGAGGTGATCGATCATCAGGGCCAAACCAGCCGGGATAGGGAGCGTGGTTCCTGACATAACTGAGGTCCACCGCCATGCACGAAGTCGTGGTTGAGACGACCCATTTGGGTTTGAGGATCCCATCGCCTGCTCTGCTGGTGCTGCCGTTCCAGGATGTCGCCTCCGCCGACTTCTTCCCGCGCAGTCCGCCGCCACCACCCGTCCGCGGTGTGCAGGAACGGCAGGTACTGCACGGCCATGGCATCGTTCTCTTGCTCCACTGTAAGGTCAATGGGCGGCGCAGGGCCGAGGATGACCACCTCCGATGCGATGGATTGCTCGGCTGCACGGTCCAGCGGGGCGCACGCGTCGTCGCCGGGGATCCCGGGGCGGAGGACGAGCAAAATGCCCGCGGGCGAGTGGAGGGGGTCGGTGGATGAGAGCTCGAAGTCACCCACGACGATCCTGACGGCGTTGCGACGACGGTGAGCGACAAAATCATCGCTGGCTGTTCCTTTTTCGCCCCGAAAGAAAAGGTCACCGTACGCAGAAATCTCTACTTCGCTCTCCGCCCCGGCACCCTTGCAGTTGAGCAAGCAATGGAGCAACGATTCCATGACCTCGCATCCGCGCCGCGGCCTCCCTTCTCCGGGCAGCTCCGACGCGCAGCCCGCTAGCCAGGCCATGGCCGGCCCTGCTCGCGTTCGCCGCCAGCACTGAGCGACAGTGGCGCGCTCCTCCAGCGCGCTCCCTGCGTCGTCGACCTGCACCGCGTGACCGACGGAGACCTCCACCGCGTCGACCTCGCCGGCGGCCCTGTGGCGCGCCCTCACTGCCACTACGCCAGATTCTTACAGCAGGAACGGGACATTTTTACTATAGGGGCGGCTGGGGTTAGGGGCACCCCTACAGTGGGCGTCCTCGGGCCCCCGCAGTCCAGCGGCCCCTACAGATGTCACTGTAGGGGCGGCTGGTAACCTGAGCCGCCCCTACAGTTAGGGCTGATCTGTAGGGGCGGCTCAATCACCAGCCGCCCCTGCAGCAGATGTCACTGTAGGGACGGCTAGTAACGTGAGCCGCCCCTACAGTCAGGGCTGATCTGTAGGGGCGGCTCAATCACCAGCAGCCCCTGCAGTTCTGACTGTAAGGGCGGCTGAATCACCAGCCGCCCCTACTGATGACGCACGAATAAATAGCAGCCACCCTCTTCTTCCACCTCGGGACACACTCTTCTACACACAAAAAATAGGTTGGGAGGCCTTGGGCTCCTCCTAAAAATTGCTCTACTAAGGGGGGAGGTTTTGATCTTAAATCCTTTGGTGGAGAGGCTCTAAAAGGTAAGGAAATGCGTCTCCAACTCTTTATTTAAGTTTAATTCGTTGGTTAGTGAGTAATTTGATTTTAGGTTTTCTCTCTCTTCCATGGAGCTTGAGATGGTTATGAGTGAAATTAGACCCTAATTTTCACTATACTAGGATAAATTAGGTAGGAAAGTAAAATTGCACCCTTTATTAGTACATATTTGTTGATTTTAGTGTAGTATTAGTGAAGTTTGATGCATGTGTCATGAAACCCTATATCTAGATCTAGGATTTTGTTTTTTTTTCTTTTTCAATTTTTTCTTTATGTGACTAGGGTTTGCATGTAGGTGAATGTGTAAGATTTTAATTGTTGCTAATGTGTAAAATATCCTCTACCATGGCTACTAATTATCATTTAATATTTATTTTGATTCATTTCTATAATGTGTGTTTTTAATTAGTTATGGACAAATAGGCCATTAATTAATTATCCTCTACCATGAAATTGGAATAGAGTTTGCATGAAAGGTAGTGGATGAAATATTAAATGTTGCTAATTGTTTTATTTGAAATTGTTTATTTGAACCAATTAATTTATATTTTAAAATATTTATGCATTAATAGTCAATTAATTAACTATCCTCTACTACCATGGTGCGTGTCTCAGGTATATACAATTATTCTCGAGTAATATTCTTTCTTTGGTTATTTTGTTTCTATAAGATGGACTACAGGAACTCTTGGATGTATGGTTCGTTAAGACACGACGCTCTTTTCCGTGATGAGTTGGACAAATTCATCAAAGCCGCAGAGAAGCATGCAGCAACATTGAAAGAGAATAGCGACACGATTATTTGTCCCTGCAAAGATTGCAAGAACCTTATTGCATTTCGAGATGTGAGTACCATCGAAGAACATCTTATTAGAAGAGGATTTGTTCCGGACTAGACAGTGTGGATTCATCATGGTGAAACAGTGGTTGTTGATGACAGCGACGATGATCTAGCTGATGAAGCTGAAACCCAAGCATACTTGTCCCGATTCACAGACGATCTTGAGCAACAAATGGATCGTGACTATGGTAATCAACAAGGTGGTGGCTTTGGCAATCAACAAGGTGGTGGCTTTGGCAATGAACAAGGTGGTGATGATGCTGGTGGTGCCAGCAATGATGGTGAAGCACGTGAGGGGGATGCAGATGACGGTGACAACTTGGACGAAATGCTTGGGGCCTTTGGACCAGAAATATTAGAAAAGAGCAAGAGAGGTCTAGAAAATCTTGAGAGGGTGACAAAAGCATCGAAGAAGACTGTGTATGATGCTGAGAAGGGTTGTCCGACATACTTCACACAGCTACGTTTTGTGCTTGAGCTACTCATCCTGAAGGCTAAGTACGGCTGGTCGGACTGCAGTTTCGATGATCTGTTGTGCCTCATGTCACGGTTGCTCCCACGGCCAAACACAGTTCCCGCCAACACATACCAAGCGAAGAAGGTTATAAGTCCACTCACATTGGGGTTGAAAAAATCCATGCATGCCCCAACCATTGTATCCTTTTTCGACGTGGCACATCGTTCGAGACTTTAGATACATGTCCTAGGTGTGGGGCTAGTCGGTACAAGAACAATGACCTTCAAAGTGGGGTGGAAGCCTCCACAGGAAAGAGGAAGAAGGGTGGGAAGAAGGTGGTGCAAGAATCTCAGCCCCCAGAGGAAACTCCATTAGGCAACGATACAAATAAGAGAAGAATTCCTGCCTTGGTTATGTGGTACTTGCCAGTGATCGACCGCTTAAGGCGTATGTTCCTAAACCCTAAGGAAGCCACACTTGATGACATGGTGGAATGATGAGCGCAAGGTGGATGATGATACGATCGCACACCCGCCGATTGTAGCCGATGCAAGCGTTCGATGCCAAGTACAAAAGCGTAATTCAAATGACGACCCACAGAATGTACGGTTCGGCTTGAGCACCGATGGAATGAATCCCTTCAATGAGAGGATGACCGACCACAGCACATGGCCAGTCATCTTGACCATGTACAACCTCCCAACGTATTTGTGTCAGAAGAGGAAGTACCTTCTCCTCACCATTCTTATCTCCGGCCCCAAACAACCAGGCATTGATATAGACGTGTTCTTGGAGCCTCTGATGCAAGAAATGGAGAGGCTATGGAGGTATGGGGAGCCGATGTACGATGCGTTCCGGCGAGAGGACTTCATATGCAAAGCAATAATATTTGTTACTACCAATGATTACCCCGCGCTGTTTGCCCTATCTGGACAGTTCAAAGGCAAGACTGGATGCTTAGTCTGTTTGGATGGTACTAAATGGGTGTTCCTAGATGGATCCAGGAAGATAGTTTACATAAGGAACCGACGCTTCTTAAAGACAGGTCACAAGTACCGCGGCAAATTATACCTAAGATACTATGGCAACATCTCGGAGGATGAACCCCCTCCAGAGAGACGTCATAATGGAGAACATGTGTTCAGAATGGTCCAAAACATACACGTCGTCTATGGAAAGAAGAATCCGGATGGAACGATTAGAGATAGAAGCACACCTCCCATCGAAGGTG